GAATGCAGTGGCACGATCATAGCTCATTGCAACCGCCAACTCCTTGGGCGCAAGCAATCCTTTTGCCTTAACCTCCGGAGTTGCTGAGCTGGGACTAGAGGTACATGCCACCAAGCTTGGCTAACTTTGTTGGTTGTTTGTTTGTTTTGGGTTGGAGCCTCCCTCAGGCTGGAGTGCAGTGGCACCTCAGTCTCAACCTGTTGGGCTCAGGCAATCCTTCCACTTCAGCTTTCCAAGTTGCTGGAATCACAGGTGTATGCCACCACACCCAGCCAATTTTTTTCTTTTATTATTGTAGAGGCGAGGTCTTGTCATGTTGCTCAGGCAATCCTCTTGACTCTGCTTCCCAAAGCCCTGGGATTACAGACGTGAGCCACTACGCCTGGCTTTGCCTAACTTTTAAAAATTTGTGCCGGGCTCGGTGGCTCAGGCTGTAATCCTGCGCCTTTGGGAGGCTGAGGTGAGTGGATTGCCTGAGCCCGTGGGTTCGAGACCCGCCTGGGCAGCGAGACCTCATCTCTACAATAAATAAAAAAATCAGCCGGGCAGCCGGGCTCGGTGGCTCAGCCTGTAATCCCATGCCTTTGGGAGGCTGAGGTGAGTGAATTGCCTGACCAAGTTGCCTAGGCTGGAGTGCAGTGGCATGCTCATGGCCACCGCAGCCTTGATCTGCTGGGCTTAGGTCTCAGCCTTCCAAGTAGCTAGAACTACAGACGCATGCCACCATGCCTGGCTAGTTTTTTGTGATTTATTGTGTCTTGCCAAACTGCCCAGGGGTTTGACTGTGCCTGGCTGATCGCATCTGTAAACAGCCACTGCACTCCAGCCTGGGCAGAGAGCAAGACCCTGTCTCATCTCCAAAATAATAATAAATAATAATAACAATATAGAGTTGTTAAGAAAATATCACAAAAATCCAGACCCTCAACCACCTGGGATTTGGGAAATCCTAGTCTAAGAGCCACACAGGGAAGACATGATCAAATGAGAGAATAAATATTAAATATTGGCTGGGCACGGTGGCTCATGTCTTTAGTTCCAGCACGTTGGGAGGGCGAGGTGAGAGGATTACCCGAGCCCACTGGTTCGAGAACAGCCTGGGCAACTTGGCAAAACCTCATCTCCACAAACAAAAATTAGTTGGGCGTGGTGGTGCATGGCTGTGGGTTCAGCTATTGGGAAGGCTGAGGTGGAAGGATCGCCTGAGCCCAGCAGGTGGTGGCTGTGGTGGCCATGAATGTGCCACTGCACTCCTGCCTGGGCAACAGAGTGAGATTTCGACTCAAAAAAAAAAAAAAAAAGCACTTAGCAACTATTTACCCAAGACAATCTCATTCACTCATTCAGGCCTGGGCTGAGCATTGGTGGACTTGACCTTTGAGTTGGGGTGCAGATACCACAAAAAGATATACTTTTGTGCAGAGAGGGAGCAGTGCCATGTTAGATCGCGTAGCCAAAGACAGTCTTCCCAAGGAGGTGACATTTCACAGGAAACCTGAAGACAGGAAGGAGAGGCTTGTGGGTGTCCAGATGAGGCACCCACAAGCACGGTGGGTGGAAGAAAGAGCAAGGTAAATGCTCCGGGACTGGGACACCTGTGGGCTACCCTCCAGGCAGAATGGTGGAGCCAGCGTGGAGCAGAGAGGAAGAGGAGTGATTCCATTTACGTTTTTTTTTTTTTTTTGA